GAACCAGATCAGGAGGATCTCTGTGGGCTTGTTTATAGTCTGCACTTTAACTTTAAAGCTCTTAGCAGCCATGGAGGGGTTGAACCAAGGTGTGGCACTACTGGATTTGCCCTCTAGAAAGATCGCTCTTAAAAAAAGGGTGACAAATGAAAAGGATAATGGATTACAGACAAGGAAACCTTTTGGAGGCTGTTGGGAAGCAGAAATCTGGCAAGAAGGGCCTGAATTTAGTTCCATGATGGGATGGAGAGGACGAGTACCATCCTTCAACTTGGGCAAGAGGGATGCCTGCCATGGTCCAGCACTTTCCAGGCCTTTCTCTGGTTATGCCTCTTTCCACTGGAAGAAGAGTCAGTGGGACCAAGGCAACAAACTCTTCAGGGACCCACACATCCCTTTCTAGATCATTCTCTGGATACTTGCACCCCAGAATTAACTGCCCAAATAACCTGAGACTACTTTTAGAAACTGTGTCAACCTCCTTCTCAGACCCATCCTCTGGAGGCTGATTATGCCATCAGTGCATACACCATTAGGACTGAGAGTAGGTGAAGGGAAGGGTGTCCACCCACGTGAGTCCAAGAGAGAAGGGGCGATGGGCCTGGGGTCTGGCTTTTCCCACACTATCACATCCTGGGATGGTACTGCAAGCAGTCAGAGATTTCTAAATTACATCCTGGTATTCCAGGTTGTTATGAAGGTATATTTGTCAAGTTGGAAGGATAGACAATATTTCACTTAAAAGTTTCCTGCTTGATTCATAACTTTATTATTTTATTTATTTATTTTTAAACATCTGGTATGTGGGCCTCCAATTGTATTCTGACCCCAGGGCCTGAAAATGTTTGGGACAGGCCTTGAGAGGAGGAACTTGACTGAGGAAGAGTTTAAGAGGTTGACTGGCCAGCACCAGGAGGCCAGTTGGATACTGTAGATCGCACAGGTTTCTGACCCAAGGACCTCTTACTTTTCTGAGAACAGATTTTGTACTTGGAGGGGAAAATGGGGGGGGGTCCACCATCTAATAATAGGACTCTCAGGAGACAGCTGTGTCAAGCAGTGGAGGACCACCAGAGGGTGTCTCAGGGACAGAGGTGGAACTTGAGTAATGGGGCACAAGGCAGGTGGGTTGCAGGGGAGAAGTGATAGAGGGAGAGAGCTTTACTGTTGCCCAATGTGATCCTTATTACTTCGGCTTCCAGATAGAAGACATGGAAATTAGCCTGCCCAACATGCACTACTTTAACATAGACATGTCCAAAATGGGACTGATCAACAAGGAAGAGGTAAGAGAACTTTAAAAATATTTAAAGTACATCCACCCTCCTGCCCCCACACCCTTACTTGTCTTTATAAATTTGGGATGATAACATCACCAAGCAAAACTCTTCACAGCTGTTGCTTTTGGAGTATTTATAGTTGCCACTGATTAAAGTCCTCTTAGACTCCAGGCCTTTCGGTACCTGAGGCTGGAGTACCCTAGAAGTGGATGAGTGATTATGGAGGAGGGCTGGAGGCTGCGGGGAGTCAAAGAAAAGGAAAGCACAGAGTGTGCCAGAGGAGACAGCTCTGAGATCTGCTTCTCTGAAAAGTGCCACTCAAGGTCACGGCTTCATTATTCTTCCATGATGAGGCGACGAGGAGGAGAAGAAAAAGATTCTATTTTCATTTTCCTTCAACGTCTTTAACTTTGGATTTAGTCGTCAACTTAAGTAGTATATAAACAGAAAATGTCCACAGAAAAATGAAAGAGTATTTGTGTTTCCAGTGGCAATTCTAGAAAGCGAGATGAGGAAGTGCACTTTTTGAAAGGAAACCTTGTTTTGGGAAAAACACTTATGTGGAGTTGTTTGAAGCCATGACAGAAGGTTAAACTAAGTGGGAGTGTCTGACCCGACAGCCTGAAATGGTGGGGCCTTGGAAATTAGAACTGTCCTTGCCCTCTCGAACCACTTGCAGAATGGTAGGATCTCTCTGTTTGATCCATCCTCTCACGGACTTCTAGAATTTGAAAAACATCATCTTGATGGCTTCTTTTAGTGTGTAGGTAAGGAGGGAGGGGCCAGCTATCAACGTGGCTCCACGGCCATAGAATTCTGGGCCTGCTGACCTAGGAGTCTTCTTCTTAGCCACAGTCCTCTGACCAGTCACCTCGTGTCTGTTCTGCAGATTATATTACTGGGCTCCATGGGGGCTCTGCACCACTACATCTGTAGGTGGGGTTTGGGGAACAGCACTGGGAAGAGAAGTCATGCTTAGATGCCTGGCATAGCTGCTCAAGAACTCTGTGTGGCAGAGGAGAGCAACTTTGACCCCCAGGTACAGTTCACTCAGCTGAGCGGGGAGGCAGCATTGTTGACTGCGATGGAAGGAAAGCATGGTGATTACCAGAACCCAATTATTAGAGTAGAAAGCCTTTTAAAACAATTACCTTCTAAAAAGCACAAGAGGGACCCTAAAGTAATCCTGGCCATGTCCGCCAAAGCTAAAACAAAGGACCCCAAACAGAAAAGGGTCAAGTGTCATGAATGGGACAGTGCTCAGCCCAGGAAGCTAGAAGAGAAAGGAGGTCTCCTCAGGGCCCCCAGACATCTCTGGCCTGCACCAATCCCAGCTCAAAGACTTGTTGCTGGCTTGCCGGTTGTGTCTCTCTACCCAAGAAGTCAGACTGGCAGCTTCCTCAGCTCCCATCTGAAGAACAGGAAGGGACCCCAAGGCAGGAAGCCCAGCTCCTTCAGGCCAGGGCTCTGCGTGAAGACACCTGAGAGGCTGGACAAGTTGTCCCCGGGTCCGTGTCTGCACTTTGGGGCTAGCCAGAGCAGCTCTCGGGCCCCCACCCAGCACATGGCTACAAAGTGAAGGCAACACATGAAAAGCGGGGAGTTAGGACACACCGACAACGGCAGAGAAGTGACAAATGACAGGGTGGGAAGACAGAACCACTCTAAACTCACAGCTTTCTGGAGCCATTTAGTATTGGGTTAACAGCCCCGAGGACCTCAAATGTTCCTGAGGGCATGACAGTATTTTAGCATTAGACAATGACTAATGTTCAAAGTGAATCATCAAGCAAAGGCCAAATTATGTTCAGAACATTCTATTGAAAAAACAGGGATATATAATGCATTTGAGAAACACTCATAGCCCAATGATTAAAATTTTTCAAAAACTTTTCTAGAAAAGTTTTCTACAAAATTTTCTAGAAAATAAGGCATTGCTATACATGAAATAACTGTATGACTGTAGGGCATATACATTTTCCTGTTTATCGAGTTGTGGTTTTTATTGTTGATTCATGGAAAAAAAGGAGAGGTCTATTGTAATGCCTCTGAAGTCGCCATGTGGTTTTTCTACAGGTCTTGCTACCCTTAGACAATCCATATGGCAGAATTACTGGGACGGTCAAGAGGAAGCTGGCTTCGAAGCTGTGACATTGTAGCCGCCTCTCAACTGAGGAATTCCTTCAGCCTCTTGTGATGCTGGAAATCATAGCATGTAGCCATGCCAATTTTCAAACTGGAGTGTTGATTTATAGTGTTAATTTTCCTCCTGTAGGAAAGAATTCTTCTACAACTAGCTCAGCAAGGTGTTTTGTGATTAATAATTACAACACACTTGGTGGATACAGTTTACTTCACAAATGTTAAGCCGTATGAGAATAGTCATAAATCAATATTTCCTTTTGGTTTTCTTGTGCCTTCCTATCTTAGAGAAATTTTAGAATCAATGTACTAAGAAAACAATAATGAATTAATGGATGTGTCTTATCAATTAATCTGTGCACAAATTTAAGAGTAAGCATTGTTTTCAACCTACTGATGCTAACACTTTACTCTAGGCAATGCAGAAAATGTAATGATGAAATCATATTTGGAAACTATCACCATCATGGCTTCAATGAGACTGAAGTATTTGAATTTCTAAGAATGTTCCAGTGTATATATCACTGGGAGTTTATTTCTACCTTTAAAGTACTTTTGTAATCCTAATGTATTGGTTTTAGGACTTTTACAACTCTTTGAGAATATTTAGTAGACACTGAAAAAAAAGTACAACTTGTTTTTCTTTGAATAATGTATCACTTTGGGAAAAAGAGCACATTTAATAAATGCTAAGTCACTATACCAAACAATGAATATCCACAGAGAAAGAAGACAAGAGACTCTCTATAAAAATATCAGTGATGGTGTTGCCTGGGTGGCTCAGCTGGGTGAGTGGCCAACTCTTGGTTTCAGCTCCGGTCATGGTCTCGGGGTCTGAGACTGAGTCCTGCATCAGGTTCCGTGCTTGATGGGGACTGTGCTTCTGTATTCTCTCTCTCCCTCGGCCCCTCCCCCTGTTCGTTTGCTCTCTCTCTTACTCACTCACTCTCTCTCACTGTCAAATAAATAAATACATCTTTAAAAAATATCAGTGATGATGATTTCTAGATGGTGGGATTAGGAGTGACTTTTTTTTTTTTTTTTTACCATGTGCTTTTCTGGATCTCCCAAATATAATCATCAGAGAAATAAATGTAATTAATGATTTAAAAGTGTATACAGATTTGACTGGTGATTGTGTCAGTTGACTAATACTACTATTGTATATAGATATGTACCATAAAGCTTCATAAACTGTGATTTTAGAAACCCCTGATGAAAACCTGTCCACATGAACATTCTAGATAACCTTCCTCCATTTAAAAAAATCTCCATTTATCAAGTTTTTAAAATCTCCATTTTTTATAATGGTTACATATGAGTACTTAGCATTGTTTGAGAACTCTGCTTCAGTCCCCTGGTTCTAGTACTATAACTTAAGCTAGCATGGCGTAGTGTTTCATTTAAAAAAACTCACTTCACTCCTGGATCCACCTCTTACTAGTTCTACGACGAACATCCTCCTCTGTAAATTAGAGGTGAGAATAGAATCTCAGAGGTTTTTTTGAAGATAAAACGGGATAATGTCTGTAAAGTGCTGTGATTTGTATTTATGCCTGACACACAGAAATTTCTATATGTGTTTATTAAATGATGTTAATGTTAAATATTTGCCTTCTTTTCATGTGATGTTAGATCCAAGTAGGAATGGTGATTGGACTTTGTGAGGGAGATGAGAGATGGGAAGTCTGAGAGCAGCGAGCCCTAGAAGACGCTGGAGGCCATGCACAGGCTCCTGCCTGCTGGGAAAGAACATGAGATAAGAAGGAAGAAATAATTTGATAAGGAAAGTTTCGTGCCACATTGAATACTCATGTTACAAAATGTGCTTACAGCCTGTCACTTGCATGGCCAAATAGCTGGTACATTTCATTCCTGGGCTGATTTGATGATCCAGTTCGAAGAGCAATTTAGAGTTTAACATGATTTTTTTCTAAAAACAAACAGCAAACAAAAAACTCAATCAGGCCCTTCTTACTAGATATTATATTGGTCATGTAAGTTTTAGAAACACTGTAGTTGCTTCAGAGAAGAAATCCATATTAGAGCAGAATCCTTAGAAACTGGGGTCCACTGTGTACTCACATGCATTTTGTTTCTCTTGAGCTCTTAAAACATTTATCGTAATGGACCAATGAACTATTGGATGTTATGTCCCAGGTGCGGGGCTGGAAAGCCTGTCTTCTGTGAAATTTTCAAGGACCAGATTCCTATTTTGGGAAGAATGTTTTCTTGTGGTTAAAATTGTAAACTATGTGCTGAAAACCAGGCTGGGGGTTTCACCTGGTTTTATAAGTGCCATGAACTGTAAACACCTGTGAGCTCATTTGTATCAAAACACTTGGTAATTTCGTTACAAAGGGCTACGGGGACTTTGTTCCAATTTTTCTGGAAAGCTGACTTGCTACATAGCGCCCTCCCTGCCTTTCCCCCATCCCTCCCTCAACCCTGTGTCAAGTATTGTCCCGGCATAAGGCAGGTGACTCCAGCGCATTTTCTGCCTGGGAAGCAGTTTTCAAGACCCTCAAGGGAGCAGCTGTCATTCACAGGCTTGTGGTTTTGGAGGCAAAATTCAAAGACTTGGCTGAAATCCTCTAAATTTCATCCCCTAACTTTTCACAGAAACAGGCTCAGAAAATGTGTTCCATTTTTTCTCCTTTTTAGAGTCAGACTTAAGTTCATACCATTCTTCACCTTTCAGTAACCTGCTTTTTCTCCTTTTGTTCTCAGTATAATAGAAACCACTCTTTGGAAATAGTGTTTTTCTTGTTTGTTATTGAAACAGACTTTACCTTTTTCAACCACATGAGAGATTTAACTACAGAAATCAGAACTTCTCTCTAAACTCCCAGCTCTCTTGTCCAGAAAGAACATTTTTTTTTTTCTCTCTCCCTCTTCAGACTTGGGACAGACTGGGCTTTTTGCCTTTTGTAGTCTCCTTTGCAAAACCTTTTAACTTCTGCTTCCTCGCCTGCATTTCAAGAGGAAACCAAGGCTTCTTTCTAAAGACATGGATTTCAAGCCTTCTGACTCACTGGGTTCTTCCTGCTGCTAAATATTAGAAACTTATTCTCTTTGTATTTTCTATAGTCTTTGTTCTCCTTTATCTCAGAGTTCAGCTACTTTTTATTCTTCCGTTGGCCTGGAATCTCTCAGGAATTCTGTAAGTTTTTGGATTCTGTGGCTATCCTAGTGAGAAGGAATGTTTAAGGACCTTCCTCCCAGCAAAAACGCTCATTCCTGCCTCTACAGGTTTTACAACATCCATCGTGGAAGTATTTCACTCTCAATCCTTAAAGTGTGAAGAATTCCATTGGAAATCTGTCACATAAGGAACATGTTCAACCAAACTTGGAAGAAAGGCATGCTGATTTCTTTATATAAGAAAGGGAAATAAGTGTTTTCAAACACTAATGATGTACTATACCTTGGCTAATTAATTTAAATTAAAAAAGAATTTAAAAAAACAACTTCAATTGGGTTTTGTGGGTATACCTTGGAGAAACTGCAGGTTCAGTTCTGTACCACTGTAATAAAACAAATTTTGCCAAATAAGTAAGTAAATAAATAAATAAAAGTGAAGGACCCCAGGTATATTTGCCTCTTGAGGCTGCTCTAAAAAAGTAACACAAGCTTGGGGGTAGATAACAACAGAAATGTATTCCTTCATTGTTCTGGAGGCCAGAAGCCCAAAGTCATTGTGTTGGTAGGATTGTGCCTGCTTTAAAGGTGTAGAGGGGATTCTGTCCTTGGTCTTACAGCTTTCTTCGGTTTCTTGGCTTGTGGCTGTACTACTCTGGTCTCCCATGGTCACATTGCCTCTTCTGTCGTCTCCTCTTGGATTTAGGACCCACCCAAATAACCCAAGGTAGTTTCTTTATCTCAAGATCCTTAACAGTATCTACAAAGACCTTTTTCCCACATAAGGTCACAATTACAGGTTCCAAAAAAATAAGGCAGGAACATAGGATTTGGCAAGGAGGGGTACAACTCAACCCAGAGAGTGAGTCAGGGGACAGACAGTGAGCTTCTTGAGAACAGCTCTTCTAGTGCCTATTGGATCTTCGGCTGCACATAGGCTACTGTTTCCTTCGTATCTGGGGGACAGTCACATCCCCCTTTCAGCCTGATCAGTTGTCACATGGATGTCTGTAAAAGGGCGAAGAGCATGGACTTTGGATCTAGATTATGCAAAGTTTCAGATTGGGCTTCTCCAGTTTCTAGCTGTGTGACCTTGGGCAAGTAACCCTAAACCTTAGTTCTATAGTTTTGAAATAAGTATAATAGAAATAACTACCTTACAGAGTAACTGAGGATTAGCTGAGATAACGCATGCAAGGGTTTTTGGTTTTTGGTTGTGAGTGTCTTCAACTGGAAGGACATCTTGTTTACTTAAACAGTTCAGAGATAGGTTGTCTCGGTATTGATCTGGCCACTCAGGGATAGCTTCATGGTCTCTGGCTCATTCCATCCTCTGCTCTGCTATCCTCATAGTGTGTTAATGTTTCCCCTGGGCTCACAAAATGGCTAGTAAAGCTGCTGTTACAGATGGTGTGCGTCACCCAAATCTCCCTTGGGACCAAAGTACTCAGATGTCAGAAATGTTGGTCTCTGCAGGCTTATCATTGGGTCCCTCTGGAGGAATTGCCCTTGGCTAAAAGAAGCTGCCTCACCCCAACTTATACCCAGCCCCTGGGAGCAGCTCACATCCATTGCTGGTCAGTGTAAGAGATACAAAGTCTCAACCTTACTGCCTCATTCGGGACAACTCTGCAGGGACACTCCAGTCCCAGAGCTCCTAACTGCCTGAGGTCGTTGTTGAAACTGTGTCATAATCCAACTTCTCCCTCTGCCTAGTCCTACTTCCTTCGCTGCTCACAGGCATTGTTCCAGAGAATGATCCTTAATAAACCTGCATGAAAATCTCAGGGTCTCACTGTCCTCTCTTAGGGAAGCCAACCTGTGGATCTAGGAGTGTGTCTAGGAAGGATGCTCTAAAATGGGGTTGTGGGAGCTGAACCGCCCACTGTCCAGCTGGCAATGAGCTCCTGGAATGTTGTAATTCTGTGATTGTTAAAACTATCACCTGAGGTGAATTGGGATGGGATACTGGAGGAAAGGAACACTCTGGCAGTGGCAATATCTTGGATGCTTGAAGGATTGGGGGTAATAATTATTATAAGGATGATGGAATTTGTTTAGATATTGCTAGGAACCATTAATACATTAAGAAAGACAATGGGGGAGCCTGGGTGGCTCAGCGGGTTAAAGTTTCTGCCTTCAGCCCCGGTCATGATCCCAGGGTCCTGGGATGGAGCTCCGCATGGGGCTCTCTGCTCAGCGGGGAGCCTGCTTCCCGCCCCCTCTCTCTCTGCCTGCCTCTCTGCCTACTTGTGATCTATGTCTGTCAAATAAATAAATAAAATCTTAAAAAAAAAAAAAAAGAAAAAGACAATGAAAAGATGAGGATGATTAACCAATATAATGCAAATCATGAAAGCAAGAAGACCTCCTTGGTAACATATAAAGAAAACCTACAGCCAGATGACAGGAAAAAAAAATTAGGATCAGGCCTAGGACTTAATTATAAGAAGAACAGAGGTCCAAGGAAGATTGATTTTTCAGTTCTGAGAGGTCAACACACCAAGGTCAGGCTCCTGATTGATGCACCAGAAACCCTGAATTCCCAGATTTCCCTGAATTTTTTGGTCCTGCAGAAGTAGATTACTCTTTCCTGTTAAAATCTAACACTGCCACCCTTGCTTGAAGGCAGTGCAAAGACTTCTGCATGTCTCCTTGGAGCCCTTCAGGCTACCAGACCTATAAACAGGGTCAAGTTACATCATACCCCAGCCAGAGACATGCCTTCGACTGCTAAGGGAGGAAGGCGCCTACAGGCCCTAAGAGTGGCAAAGATTCACACAATTTTATGTACGAGAGTGGAAGGATTATACATGGGACTGGATCCTGAGGGTTTTGGACAAAACCTATTAGATTTTTATTCATTTTTTAAAGATTTTATTTATTTGAGAGAGGGAGAGCCCTAGTTGGGGGAGCGGAAAAGGGAGCAGGAGAAGCAGACTCCCCGCTGAGTGGGGACCCTGATGTGGGGCTTGATTCCAGGACCCTGGGATCATGACATGAGCCAAAGAGATGTTTAACTGACTGAGCCACCCAGGTGCCCCCCTCCTATTAGATTTTTAAATCAAGAAGGAAGAATAGAAGCACTTTCCATTCACATAGGATGGCCCACTGTATACATTTATAGTCTTGCCCTAGGACTACATTAATCTACTTTTTGTATCTGGGACCTAGACCATCTGGACCCTCCACAGAACATCACATTTGTTCGTTGTACCCATGATATCATGTTAATGGAACTGGAAAAGCAAGAAGTGGTGCTTGTACCTTAGGAAACGGTGGAGTCCACCATGTTAGTGAAGTTTTTAGGTCTAGAACAGGGGTGGGAAAAATCTATCTTATCATCTGTTTTTGTAAATAAATTTTATTGGAACACAGCCATTTGCTTATGTATTGTTTATGTGTTGAGTAGTTGTAATAGAGACTATTTGGCCCACAAAACATACAATATTTAATCTCTGGCCTAAATAGGAAAAGTTTCATGACCTCTGATCTAGGGTGTTCCAGGATATGTGTTCCAGGATATCTCTTCCAAAGGGCACATTATTGCATCTCAAACTTTCTACCACTAAGAAGAATGCACAGTGCCTGGTAGTCT